TCTCTCACATGGTAAAATTAGGATAGGATTATTTTAAAAATCGCTGCTGGCGAGGTTTCCTGGTGCATCTGGATCTCTCATCCCCCTTTAGATTTGCTACCAGACACTAAACATCAGCAAACATTGGAGACGGTCCTGAAAGGAAGAGGTGGAGGTATCATTTCTCTTAGAGAGAAGGCTGGTGACATTCTGGTGACAAAAGCTGTGGTGTGTTCACAGCATTACTTAAAGGTCACCAGATGTGGGATTAAATTGTCACTAATCTATTTTTTATGCCAATGTGAAATTGACAATTCCAGGGAAGCGGGTTTCTTTATCAGTTAATGTCACAGTGTTCAATGATTATTGTATTTATTATTTCCCCATCCAAAATTAAAATCCTGATTGGCGAGGAAGCAGTTTATGAGTCTGGGGAGATCTTCTGACATTTCATATAATCTCCCAATAAGTCAGATGGGTCGTTGTTTTGATGAAAGCTGTGGACAAAGTGCTATTAAAACCAAATGTAAGGAAGACATTATTTTTGTAAATAACTAGGGTGATTAAAGCTTTGTTTCACATCATTAAAAATGTGTTACTCGCTCCAGCCTTGCTTCTCCCCAACGCTGTGTGCAGCAGGAGACGAAAGCAGTTTGAAGGAAGCAAAGAAAAAAAGATACCCATGTAGAGAAAAAACCTAAGTAGAATCAGAAGTCGGATCCTAGAAGGCTAAGTCTGCCTGCAGGTCCTTTGGGAGTCCCCCTCGGTGCCCTGAGTGATCACCGGCTTCTGGAACTTTCTGACCATACCCCCTCGGTGGGCTGAAGGTCTGTGTGAAAGCCATGTCAGTATCACCCCGGTTCTCATAGCATTCGGGTCTTATCGATCAAGTGAGAAGTCTTAAAAACTCAGTGAGGTCTCATTTAGGCAACATTCGACTTCTGCCAAGCCTTCCGCCCCCCACGGCGCCGGCATTATTGCTCACACAATTAGAGATGGCTGCCTGGGAGAGGTCCCCTGCAGCCGCACTCTCCCAAGTCCATCCATTTCCCCTGGCCCAGCAGGCCGCGCCTGGCTCATTTCAGCTTTCATTAGCCTCTGTGGCTCCTGGGTGTGAAGGTGCAGCTCACCTGATCCCAGCCATTCTGGAGTGTGAAATAAAGCACCCCGGTATTGGGGACCCAGCTCTTGTCACTCAAGTATTTAACCGGAGGCTGAAAAACGCGGTTTGTGTGTGTAGGTCAGGCCCATCAAGAGGGAATCATCAAAAACCCCAATGGTTTCTGGGCTTCCATTTTCTCTCTGTGAAAAGGGACAGACGCTGCTCTGCCCCACCCCCACATACGTAGGGATACCTCATGCACACATGTGCAGGAGCTGGTCTGGGGACAATGTGGACTGATGGCCTGGGGGCACGCCCGATTGATCTGGTTGAGAGAGGAGTCAGTAAGTGGTGTGGGCCACGGTGTTGGGGTAGTACAGAAGTCACTTCTCTCCAGTGGATTTACATCACAGCTTCAGTGGCTGTTGTGGACGAGTGTCTCACGGGCTTAACTAAAAATAAGTTACTTAATGAAAGTCCACCTTCTGGCACAGATGGTTCCAGAAGTGCACACAAGGTGTTCAGGAATCTTGCTCTCCTCGCTCCTGGTCTGCTATCTGCAGTGTCAGCGTCCTTCCTGCATGCTGGCAAAGCTGTCACTCAGCACCTCTCAGTTTATCACCATCCTGGGTAGAAAGAGATCTCTTCTCCAATAATTCCAGCTAATGGTCTGGCTCTGCAGACCAATATTCTTGTTTCAGCTGCATGCCTGCCCTGGTCCAACCGCAAAAGGCAGGAAGATAGGACACATCTCTGATTGGCCAGACCTAGAAGCCAGAACCATCTCTGAAACCACAGAAGGATAAGTCCCATCCAGGAGCATGGGGCCTGAGACAGGTGGTTTACAAAAGAAAATTGGGGTCTTGTTTCCAGAAATGAGAAAATAGATCCTGGATTGTTAATAATAACAGACATCCAATCCTGTGTATGGCTAAACCAGACCCTGGGCTTCCTCAGAGCATCAGGAATCAGAGTAATCCTGCAATGTGTGCCTTCAAATGTTAAGAAGATCATGGAAAAACGCATCCAGCTCACACTGTAGAGAGGAGTGTTCATTAGTAGTGGGATGAAATGAAATCGTTTGGGACATAATAGATGCATAGTATATGGTTGAGATTTTGGTGGTTTATCGTTGTCTAGATGATTTTTTATGTGTGCATGTTTTATCACATGTACTGTTTATGATAAAATATTTTAAAAATTTAATGCATGACCTTACTCCAAAAATAAACTTTACAGTTGCTGTTTGGTGTCCAAGCGTGGATAAGTCCAATAAAATGGGTAACAGGAGGGATGAATTGGAGGCCCTAGGGGGGTCCAAGGGAAGGAAGTTATTAGAGATGAAAAAAGAAGCTGGAATTAAATGACACATTACAGTTAAAGGGAAATATATATATAATATAAAATATGTAAAATAAATTATATTCATCATTTTTTCTTTTCCTACAGAAAAGTGTCTGTTGTGCAAGAAATGGTCCTGAGAGACAGTAAAATCCCACAGGAACACAGGCCTGATTCACTCTTCCTGGAAATCGTTAGCGGGAACAGGAAGAAGCAGAGTTTGTAAATTAATAAGCGGGAAGCTGAGCCCTGGGATCTGTTTCTTTCAGTTGCCTGGTTAACCTTTTACTCAAGGGCAGCAGATGTTTCTGCTTGCATTTGAGTTTTGCAATTAATTCTGAAGGCCAATAACTCCAGGAAGCTAAGAATTCTTTTTAGGTGAGAGAAACCTGAGAAGGTTGTTCAGATTCTTTTTTTTTTTTTTTAAATGGTTTATTTTTTGGCATCGATGGTTGGTAAAGCAGATTCCTAAAATCTTTGTGGTTTCAAAATTGTTCTTTCCCGGATGTGACCCAGCCAGCAAGGTAGCAGCTGTATTGGGGGCTTGGTCAGAGAACAACTGTGTGGCTCTTTTCTTCCTTCCTTTGTTTCTTTCTGTCATCCTGATGAAGCAGCTATTCTTAGCTGAGCCAGGACCAGGGGAGGCAGGCAGGGCTCCTAGATCACAAGATTTAAGGAGCTGCTTACTCTCAGGGTCACGAAAGCACAGTTGGTGTCTGGGGGTGATTGCCTTCGTAGATTTTATGTGCAAGAAGACTTGCTCATCTCACCCTGGTTCTGGGCCTACTTTTATGAGCCAAGTTCTTTGAAAGGTGTTAGAGATACAAAGAGAAATAAGACATGATCTGTGAATTCCTGCTTGGGAAGTCCATGAGTGGTCAGGGTAAGCTCTGAGAACTGTTAGGTTCCGGGAAGGGATATAAAAGTAAACTTGAAGTTCAAGTCCTCCACATTGGGGCTGGAGTTGGTACAGAGAAACATAGAAGTCTAAAATGGCCTTGGAGCCACTTGGTCCCAGGGATTGAACTGGAGGGCACTCAATCACTGAACCACATCCCCAGCCCTATTTTGTATTTTATTTGGAGACAGGGTCTCACTGTGTTGCTTAGTACCTTGCTTTTGCTGAGGCTGGGTTTGAACTTGGGATCCTCCTGCCTCAGCCTCCTGAGCCGCTGGGATTACAGGCGTGCGTCACCGTGCCCAGCCTTAGAGCCACTTTCTGACACTTGCATTGGAATTGTCTTGGAATTTTTAAAGCAAAAAAATTAGGCCTGTGGGTGAAGCTCAGTGATAGAGTGTGTGCTAAGTATTCACGAGCCCTGGGTTCAAATCTTAGGACCAAAGAAGAAGAAAAAGGTAAAAAGTTATGATGTTCTTATTATTAGTGGTACTAATATCATGATCTAATAGAACAAAGGATATCATCATCATAAGAAGAATAAGCATATAATAGCCACTGAGAGGTTCAGTTGATATTTGCTGAATATATAAGAATGCTTTGAGGAAGGCGGAATTATTTGGATTTCGTAGAAGAGATGATTGAAGTTCAGAGATAATAAGTCCTTTGCCTAAGGTTGGCCAGCATCAAGGGGTAAAGCCCGGATTCGAACCCATGTCTGTTCTCCACGTTGCCCCCAGAGTCAACCCAGGTCTGTAGACTGGCAGCTTTTCCAAACCTTCCAACCCTGAGTAAACTTAAAAAAAAATTTTTTTTGGTGCATTTTTTTTTTTTTTTTAAAAACCAACCTAAAGGCAAACCAAACCAAATTTCTAAAAAAAAGTTTCTCAGCTTTCTAAGGTGACGCCTGAGTGAGAAACGTGGCCCTCTGCGCTCTGAACCCCCCCACCCTTTTCACCACAGCACACCTCTCACCTTCTCTCTCTCCTGTGCTGTGCAGCCGCAGAACCGACCTGGGAGAGAAAAATAGAAAGACTGTGGGAACCGCTGTCACCTCCCCACCACCCCCAGGGACCAGGAAAGCCGTTAGGCCCTGCTGGGTCAGCCAGACAGGCTCTGGATTTCTGTTCCTCTATGTTAATTAGAAAGAAGAATCTTCAGAGCCAATTTTGACTAAGAACTCTGTGTCCAATTTTCTCCTGGCCCTGATGGTGAGCAGCCTGATCAATATTAAATCTAATTTACAACGATGGCCCCTGCGAAGTCGGCAAATGTTATGTCAACAGACCGTAATGACTTGGGCTTCCTGAGCGCACTTGTTAGCAGCGGCCACATCTGCCACCTCCACTCTCTTAACCCCACCCCCCTCCCGGGCCACCTCTGGGACAATGCTTCCCCGGGTTCTCCTGCCTCCTCTTCAGGCACCGAGAGCCCCTGTCCTGTCAATCCTGGTGGCTCCGGGGTTGCCTGATGAACTCCAAAAGACTAGGAGAACACAATTACTTTGTTTTTTTCCCTCCCACAACCGATGAACCAAAGAAAGAAATAATTGCTACTCAGTTTTAATAATGGCACATTTTTTATGAAATTTCCATAAAGACAATTTGGAAAGGAGTTTGGGGAGTATTTCTCCACGGGGGGCCCCAACTGGCTGGCATGGTTTCATCTGTGTTTATGTGATCACAATATTCCGCGTCGTTTGCATTTGCATCCCATTGTCTCCAGGGCGAGTTCTCGCGACTCATTTGCGAGGCAATGAGTAACAGAGATGTAACGGAGCGCGGCTCCCGGTCTGGAGCCTCACCTCTTGTGGGGATGCAGCTCTGCTGAAGGCTGGCCCTCGGGTTCTGGGGAGGCCTGCAGGAAGCAGGTGTTGTTCACGTTACCGTCCTTCTCCAGAGCCTCTTGGGCTTGCATGGTTTGTGAGAAAAAGTCAAAGTTCTTTAGTGCTTTGAGACAGGGAGCTCCCGTTGTGTGCTCCAGCCAATGGGAGTCTCCTGTTTGTCCCGGGAGGACTTACCACCCAATCCCCATCCCAGGAATTTGGTCCAGGCTGTGTCCCCTTGGCCTGAAAGATTGCTCCTTCTCCTTCTTCCCTAGAAACCAGCCTTCCATGGGGTATCTTCCTCCAGCCCCCTCACCAGGTTACACCTTCCCTTGTTAGTTCTCGTTGCCACCTCTCCTTCCCCTCACTTGCTGCTTTTTGTTGGGGGCAATGATATGATGAACAATCTTCCTCTTAGTGTGAACTCCACAGGAGCAACAGCCTCATCTGTCTTACTGTCTGACTAGAGACTGAGGAGAGTGAGGGAGTGAGCCATGTGGCTATGGAGAAAGACTATTCAGCAAGTACAAAGTGGCCACAGCACGTCTGGCCTGTCTGGAAATAGCAAAGAGGTCATCAGTGGGAGAATAGTTGTAGCTGAGGTGAGAGACATCATGCAAGGCCGGATCAAGTAGGGCCTCCCAGGTCACCTTAGGGACTTTGGTTTGTTGTTTGGCTCTCCTTTGTTATGATTAAGATGGCTGCTCTAGTGCCTGGCATTCTAACCCGTGGCCAAAGGAGAAGGGGAGAGTGTGGGCATGAACCCTTTCTTGAAGGCACCAGCTTGAAGAGGCGCACATCATCTTCTCCCATCAGGCAGAATTAGTCACGTGATCACGCTCAGTTGCAAGGAAGACAGGGCAGGGAGTCTCATTTTTTGTGGCCAAGGGTGCAGAGAAAGCCCAGAGATTCTAATATGTATCTATTTTTGTTAGAGCTTATGGTTGGAGGTCGTAGTTGGCTTCATCCCCACAAACTCATATGTGTGCGATTCAAATATTTTTAAAAGAAGGGGGGGAAACATCTTGGAGGAGTGTAACAGTCTCTGCCCCAAAACCACTCTTTGCAAAGGGAAGACATGAATAATCTGAAGATCCTTCTACTAATGGAATCAGTGTTCAGTGAAAGGAAGCTACACTGAAAAATCTCTTCACCATAAAAGTATTTCATTTTGGGAAAATATGCTGAAAATCTTTTCTTGTTCTCTGTGAAGGTGTTTATGACCCAATGAACTAAACAAAAAGCCTCATCCGCTGACAATTAACTAAGGAGCAAGACCCAGGTAGGATTAGGTTTAACTATTTCTCTCCCCTGTCATAAGGAAAAATTTTCTTTGCTATCACCTGCTCTGCAATGTAAAAATATACGATTCCCCTTGTTAAGCTGTTTTACAATGGATTCCGTCTTTATTCACCTAAAGATTCTGTACCGACATCAGATTTTGTGAAGCGTGTCTGACTGAGCTAATGATGAAAAAATCTTAAAACAAGACTAGCACAGAAAGCAGTTCATAAATTAAACTCACTGTCAGTCACTTCAGAAATAAATAAATGAACAATGAACGTAAGAGGTTTTTTTATTCTTGGGTCATCTAGACGAAAGCCCTGTTCATAACACCATACAAATCATATTTTAATGCCTGGTGTTTGAGAGAGCAACAAAAGCTATGATTTAAGAAAAGAAAAAAAAAATAGAAGGGGGGGGGCTTTTGCCTTCTCCACACCAAAACACCACTTGGAATTGTGTATTCTTTGACAGTTAATGTTGAAGGAATGAATGAACTTTGCGAAGCTCTCTGATTCCTAAGCATTAGAATCTCAGTGTTGGAAAGCAGCTTGATCATCAGGCATTTGGTCTTAATTCGGCTACAGCATCTAGTTTCAACATTTTAAGTGACGGAGGACTGTGCGGGTCCATTTTCCATTGCTAAAACACACCACCAGAGACCGCTATGAAGTTATGAAGAAAAGAGGTTGATTTTGGTCCCAGGAAAATGGGCTGCATCTGGTAATGGCCCTCTTGCTCGAAGAATCCCCAAAGAGGTCAGGGCATCACGCGATGAGACAGGGAACAGGTGTGTACATGGTCTCTCTTCTTCTTGGAATAAAGCGACCAGTGTTGAGTCATGGAGGCCTCACTCTGGTGATCTTACCTGATCCTAAACACCTCTAGACACCCTAGTGGAACCAAGCTCCCCGTGCGTGTCGTAAGACTGCACGTGGGGATGGAGCTGCAGCTGAATCCTGCAGGGCACAAACCATAGCAGGGACTGACTGACTCCTTCACTTTACAGCACAGAGGGTTAGAACTCTCTTGGATTTTCAAGTTTGGATACTGAGAGTCCCCAGAGGCCTGTGTGTTAAAGGCTTGGTCCCCAGAATGATGCTGTTGGGAGGTTATGGGACCTTTGACAGGTGGGGCCCAGGGGAGGTCCTTAGTCCATTGGGGAAATGCCCTGGAGGTAACTGTGGGACCCTGGCCCCGTCCCCTCTCTCTCTGTCTTGCTTTCTAGCAGGAGGTGAGTGGCCCTGCTCCACCACATGTCCCTTGCAGTGATGTGCTGCCCCCCTACAGGCCGAAGGCAGTGGGGCCAGTGGATCAAGCCTGACAATGCAAGCTGCCTTCTGCTTCTCCGTGTCCTCAGTGTGGCCAGCAGGAGGTAAGCTTCACTGCTGTCTCCGATGGCCGCCTGCCTGGTACAGGGGAGGGGGTTCGAATGCTCGCCCTTCCCAAGCCCATGTGTGTCGTGGTCCTCGCAGAGCTCCAAGATCACACCCATACCGCTAGGTCAGCTCTGAGGACAAAGCAGGGAAAGTTAGTGGTTAGAATTTTGTCACAGCCCCCCCTCCCCCTTGCTGTCTGTGTTCACAGGAGTCGCCTAATAATAATTGTTATTAATTGCTAATGACGGTAGGATATTTAGTTATGATAGAAACTGTGCTCAGCTATTTACATCCATTTTAATTTAATGCGCCTATAATGCAGCTGGAAGATACTTTCACCGCGCTCATTTTTAGAGATAATGGCTCAGAGAAATTCTGTCGCCTGCCCCAGGATGATTCCAGCCCTGTGACATTACATCTGGGCTTTTGACCTCCATACCACGCGCTGCCTCTCCTGACTCATGAAATCGTAAGCAGGTCTGCCCACAGTGAGGTGGCAGTATGGGTCCCGGGGAATCCACTGTGGCAAAGGACAGGGCAGTGGTCACCAGAAAGAAATAGGAGGAGGTCAGCAAGGGCAGCCTGGCCAACCTGTGGGTGATGGCAAGGGCCCCCAGAGGCCAAGAGCTCCGCGTGTCACAAAGATCTGGCAAAAGGCAGAAGACAGGGCAAGCCTTGTGTTTCTAAGAGGTCATAAAGTTGAAGTGATTATGATATGCCCAGTGCATCTCGATTTAAAATAAAAACAAGAGAAGGCATCAAAAATAGGTACGAAGATGTTCAATGTAGTTCTCTTTTTTACCCCCAGGCCTAAGACACCTGAGGGACGCAGCAGAGGTGGAGCGTATTTACTGACCTACGAGAGCCACCGACAAGCAGGTGGTGGTGGTGGGGACATTGACAAAGGAAGTTGAGACAAGAGCCCCGTGGTGACAGGTGAGGAGGGACCTGCATTCACTGAGGTCTGGAGTTGGAGGAAGCTGGACTGATCACACAGGCCTAAAGTGAGGCTGGGTTGACAGAGTGGCCCAGGGGCTTCCTCTTGGGGTTGTTGTGGTGGTGGGGGGCATAAAAATCCCAGAGATGAGCAGGTATTTGGGGTGCTGATCCAGATGGCTCTGAATTTGGCCAGAAGTACTGATTTCAGTCATTTTAAGATGACCTAGACTGTAAGGCACTCCTTGATTTAACAGCAGCACTTTGGGAAAGAAAGAAATACTGAAATCAACGTTCACATGGATTTTTTTAGGCAGCTCCAGAACTCAGAAATGTTAAACGTGAAACCTATAAGTAAATACCACGGTGAATCAAGTAAATAGAACTCTAACCCAGCTACCTCATGAATGATTAAGACCAGAATTTAAAAAATGAAGCGGGATGGGGAGGAGCCAAATTTATTAAGCATAATGAAGAGAGAAGCAGATCCAGCCAGCTCTCTCCCCTGAACGTCACCCGTCACCTGCTTCCGTTTCCAATCACCACGTTCTTCTGGGGGCAGAATGTTGGAATTTCCTCTGGAGCATTGAGACCAACAGCTGCAGGAGTTGGGTTGGGTCTAGACATCGGGGACCAGATAGATGTGTCAAGTGTGGGGGGTCTTGCAGAGGAGGACAGGCTCCCCCCATTCTGGGCTTTATTTAGAAGTGAGGTTATCTCCTCAGCCTCGCCTCAGGAAACTGTGGGGCCTGGTCATGGCAGGCTCAGTCACTTTAGGTTGCCAAGGGTGACAAAACTAAGCGGATTCTTGGAGGGATCTGAATTTTTCACCCACCGTCATGAGCCTGAGGCTCTCCCAAAGCGGGCGACCACTGACATGGACTCTCCATTTCTGAAGATTCCAAAGCAAAGAGAACAGGAGAACAGAGAGCCGAAAAGAGAAAGTCAAGCTTTCCCAAGAGGGCATGGCGGTTACCACCGCTTCCGTTTCCTCTGGAAGCCAGGATCAACATTCTTGTCAAATGAAAAGTACGCCAGTGGAAATACCACTCTTTGACACCATCCTGTTGCTAAGGTAACTCCAGAGATAGAAAAATTTCAGACAAATCATTAGTATGTGCCCCTGAAGACCATAAGACACAAACAGAAGACTCAGCTGTCAGGATAATTCTATATTACATTTTCATTTCACATGGTTCAATTTTCTTCATAATCAATAGGATAAATTTCAGTTATTGCAAAATTAGTGTTTGGACAGGAAACGCAATTCTTTGGAAGACAATGTTGCTGCAGATGTGTTATGTTAAAGGGGGGCTTGAAGCTCGTCTGTGTTTCTCAAAGTACCTTCCCTTCAGCGACACAAACACTGAGCTGATTTTCTTATTAAACTTTATTATAAACAGGGGAACTAAATTTGGGGTTGTCACCAAGTCTGTGTGAGG